TGCTCTAACGATGCATCATCTACTGTAATAAGTTGTCAACGTTCTAAGCATGACTTATATGATGCAGTCACATCCTACCCACAACAATTTTTTCCATAATGCTTACAGTTTACCCTAAAAACTGTAAGGTGCTCTTTACTATTGTGTATTCTCTTCTGGACACTCACACCAAGTAATCCTTTATAGTCATCTGCATTTGCCTTTTATCACTGAATGTCATCCTAGAAATCAGAACAACATTATTTTTTGTGTACAGATTCCATTTGCAAGTACGAGTATCTATGTATCTTGTTGAAACTCCTCTCGAAACAAATTTTGAAAAAATTCAGTCGAGGGATTTCATTCTCATCCCCTGAAAGTTGTATGGTACGTGTTTCATGACATCTCGATGGCCTTAGATCTGGTCATTCTATAACCACCTGTATTTTTTTCTATCATCATTTTTTTGCACGGCTATTTCATCATCTAAGTCTGACAGTAATTTTGGTTCGCTACATTCATCTTGATTGATTCTTTCACAATTAACATCTAATATTAGTAAATCATCATTTGTTGGATTATATCTTCTATTGTAATCCACACTAAGAGCATCAACAATAACATTTTCGGAATTTCTTTGGAATTCAACAAATAATTCCAAACATTTGTAATCATTAGTTGAATTTAAGAAATGCTCGAGATTAACCGCAATGATAGTAATTAACCTCGATTTCTTAATACCCTGCTCATGCGTCCAACTATATGAAATTTTAAAAATAATAGAATACTAACATCAATATTTTTCGATCACATAAAAAATAATATCTTCTAAATCTTCAAGTATACTATTATGCCAAATAAAAGTGATATATTTGAGATTACAATTATATTCTATTATAGGTGAATTATGCATACAATATTTGCTATATTTATGGGAAAAAAACACAATTATTTAAAATAAAAATTATAAAAAAATCCATATTAAAATTATCAATATCAAAATAAATGAAATGAACAAAAAATAATAATATACAAATATAAATATATCACACATGTAATATTATGTAATATTGTATAAATACATATGGAAGATTTTCTACCATCTTACAAAAGAATATTATAGATCTATCAAAAATTTTATTCTAATAATATATAAATTTTATAGGAATAAAATGTTATAAAATATTCAAAAAAGTAAAAAACAAAAAGAAAAAAAAATTACTGTGAGCTATCGTACCAAATAGAAAAAAGTTGAAGGTATTGAACTTTTTCGTATGGATAAAAAAAAAAAAAAAAAAAAAGTCTTATAAGTGATGGTCTGGTGGTGTGGGGGTGAACTCGTGATCGTGAAGTCATGGGTTTAAAACTCCGATGTCTCTAAATCATCTGCCACATATGGTTCGCTTAGTAACTTGCATTGTCGGACCTAGTTTGCAAGGTATTAGATTTGACTAGGAGTTTATCCAGTATGCACATTCGGATAGTGATTGCGGATTCTCATATCATAAATAATAATAATAATAATAATAATAATAATAATAATAATAATAATTAGTGTTATAAAAAAAATAAATAAATAAATTCTCAAAACTCGTTAATTTTACATGTAAAGAACTCTTAAAAAATTGCTATTAAATATGGTTAATATGGGCCATAATTGTTCCCTAGAACACCTTGATGTACTAGTTCCTAGAATTACTATAAAGTCTACTTTTTTTTTTTTAATTTTATTTGACTTAGAGACATTTATTTGAAAAATCTCTTAAAGGCGGCATGGGCCGGCCGGTGGAATTGGGTTCAATCTTGGGCCACAATCCTAAACCCAACATTGCATAAAATATTTTATAATTTTTTTAAAGAAAATGATATATAAATTGCACATGGATGGGATTGGAAAAAAGCAGATCAAAGAATATTTAATCAATTAATTAATTAATTAATTGGTGATATGTATGTATGTACACGTCGTGTTCTCGTTCAAATTAATAATGAATAATGATGGCCATGGGGTGGTGAGATCTCGTCTGTTCCGTTATATAGTACTATATACTTTTATTTTATTTATATATTTATTTTTTATACTAGAATTTGCAATCATTCTCTTTTAATGAATTTTCGGTAAATTATACAACACCTTTTATGTTTAAGTAAAAATGAATAAAATATTAGGTATTTTATTTATTGTTTGAAACTTTTTTACGTTAATATAAAATTTATATAAAATATTCTTTTTGTTCAAAAGTAATATTTGATTTTAAATAAAGACTTAAATTACATAAATTTTATTCAAATAAAAAATATAAATATTTTAAATATTTTTTTGAATAAAATAAATGAATAAATAAATAATCAATAATTTATTTTTATAGTTTTTTAAAAATCGAATAACATTTTGTATCCAAAAAACTATAAAATGAAGGATTAATTAATTAATTATTTATACATTTTATTTTAAAAAATTATTTAAAATATTTTACGTTTATTATTGTATAAAATATGTATAATTTAATTTTTTATCTAGAATCCATAAATATTAGGAAAATAAAAATATTTCGTAAAAATTTTGCAATAATACAAGGGAGTTCACACAAAGTGTTGTGTCCATTTTTATATAATTTACCCATGAATTTTAGTAAATTCAGTGAGCCACCTGGATTCACTTCCAAGAATCCCAAAATCTTTAGCCCTTTTAAGGCCACATTTTTTAACATATATATTTATATATATAATAAATTTTATAAATATATGTATAATATTAAAATTTGTTTAGTAATATTTTATTTTTTATTTAAATGTAATTTAATATAATATTTTTATAAAATAAAATAATATACGTATGTTTTACTATAATGATATTAAACAAATTTAAAAAATAAAAACAACTAAATAAATAATTTTAAAAAATATTAATTTTATGTTAATGATGTATAAACAAATCAAATAAGAAGGGGCCAAATTTTACTACAATAACTCATCTCTAACCACACATTCTATTTTTACAAATTAATAAATATCTTATTTTATATACTATTATTTTTAAAATTTATAAATAAACATTAAATATTTTACTCTTTCCGTTCGGCTAAAAAATATACATGTTTTTATTTTGAGACGTCTAATCACAAAGTAACCATTTTATTAAATACTTTATTTTTTTCACAAATACCCCTACTTTACATCACATCATTACTTTTATACCAAAAAAGTAAGGGTAAAAATGTTATTTCACTACTTTTATTTACCCACTATAATTAAAATACTATTATTCCTTAATCTCCACGCCAAAAGTAAATGTATACTTATTTTGTGGACACAGGGAGTATTATTTTTATATACTTCCTCCGTCCTATTAAAAATTTGTCATTTTTTCATTTTATCCGTCCAAAAAACAAGGTTACCATTTCTTAATTTAGTAATTGTACTACCCACCTAACGTGATAAATACCCTTCCAACTTACACTATATTACACAAATGTTATTACTTTTATATTACACAATACTAATAGAGGTATTTTCGTCTTTCTCACGATAGCCCATTATAATACTAATATTCAAAAATCTACGTATAGAAATGAAACGACAATCTTGCACCGGGCGGAAGAAGTATTTAATTTATAAAAAATATTTTAGATATTATATGAAAATAATAAATTAAAATAATAAATATTTTTAAATTTAAATAAATTAAAATTTTAATATTATTAAATAATATTGATGTAAAATATAAATAAAAATACTATATAATATTATTTAATTAAATATAATAAATACAATAAAATTAATATTACTATTAATTATAAAATTAAAATATAAATATATAAAAATCCTTTATTTTCTAAACAACAAAATAAAATGAAATCATAATTTTTAAAGTAAAATTTAATTAATTTTTGATTTAAAATAAAATATAAAAAAAATAAAAAAATTCACCCTCTTTGTTGAGATGGTGTCCTCTGGATACTTAAATAAATTATTTTAAAGAAGCCAATAATGATGTACTTAGAAAACAATCCGCTATTATTTTATAGTAGTATATAATAACCAGACAGTCGGCCGGCTGCGACCATCCAAGGACGGACAGATATTATAACTTATAAATGATACTTTTGTACTTTTGCCACTTAAAAAGATTATTATATTCTTCATTTTAAATTATAAATTTAACTAGTCTTTTTCTCCATTCGTGTTTGTTATGTTGCTATGGCCTCCCGTCCTCTTTGATTTTCTGCCGTGATCGCCCCGTCCTCGTTCATCCATCATTTAATTTTTCACCTTATATAAAATTTTTTTATTTTATAATTTAATAATTAACTGCATAACATATAACATCTTAAATGACGTATGATCCATTCAAAACCCCTTTATTTCTATTTTTCTTTAAAAAAATAAATATTTTTATCTATATTTCATTTTTGTCTGTCCCGTAATAATGGACACATTTCTATTTTTAGTAAAAATTATTAAATAAAAATATATTTAACAAATATAAATCAAACTTAATTAACTACATAACATATAACATCATAAATGATGTATGACCCACTCAAAACCCCTTTATTTCTATCTTTTTTTTAAAAAAATAAATATTTTTATCTATATTTAAAATTAAACATTTTTTATAAAATTGATTTATGTTAATTATAAATAAAAAATATTTTTTCTAATATTCATATTACATATATTTTTTAATTGCTATATAATTTTTAAATATTTAAATATATATTTTGATTTTTTTAATATTATATATTAAATTTACTTTAAAACTATAAATATTATTAATTATATAAAAAATAATATAATAATTAATTATTATTAACTAATTAAACATCTTTACCTTAAATAACGTATCTATAATCAAATGATTCAATAATAGTTGTTCAAAATATCATATTAATATATATTTATATCACATCATCATTTGAATTCAAAATTTTAATATTTAATATGAAAATACAAAAACAAAATTTTACGAATAAACACGCTCGAAATTGGCGCAATAAATATTACTTTATTTTGACCCAGCAGTAGCTTCAACAAGACTTCCATGGCGTACTTGTCTGCGCCTCCAAAGGACGACTTGGCTCCCTAGAGATTTGGCATATCGAGCGGTCCCCTATTTTAATCTGTAGATTCTTTCTTCAATCCACACAGGAAACTATCCCATCATTAATCAATCCATCGATTTACGGCGGTTTATCGCAGATTGAGTTCTGTGCACGAAAGCAAATATTCGCAGGTATCCGCTAGAGAACAGAGGGGGTGAGGAAGGAGCCGCGCATCTTATCTCAATCGCCTGAGGTCAGTCATTCGAAAGTCAAAATTCTCCTGGCAGGGTTCCGATTTTGGATGACGAGAGGCTGATTAAGTGGGTTACTTCGGATTTTCTGGTATATTTATTCTCCTCCCTTATCGGGAGGGCTCTCATAACGTGCGTTTACATAAATTTTGCTTACTGCGTAGTGATCGATTGCTAGATTGCTTGATTTTGGATCCACTTTGATAGAAGATTGCGATAACTTGGTCTGGTTGTTTGTGGTTTTCAGATTACGGCAATCGAGAGTAAGTTGAAAATGGATGGCAACAATTGGCGACCGACCCCGGGGCAGGTTCAGATGCACGGTCAGATTATGGGCGGCGACGCTGTGGCGGCCACCGGCATGGAAGGCGGCGGCGATTGGAGGTCTCTACTTCAACCCTATTCCAGGCAGAGGATTGTGAACAAGATGTAAGTTTCATTTCTTTAATCTTCTTTAATTTTTAAGCTCTCAGAGAGTGGTGTTAAGATTAAGATTGTTCATTCTTTGCCATGTCCCAATTATACATATGTATACAACATTGATTGTTCATAGGAAACCTATGTGGTTCTGACAGTTGAACTTAATTGCTACATTTCCATGGTTTAGTAGGTTTGCAGCAGGTGAAGTCCAAGTCAGTATTAAGATACCTACAATGTTGTAACCATTATAATATGCAATATAATCAACAACAATAACGAAATAAATGAATGGTGGGGGTGTACCTCTGGGTTTGATCATAGTCGCAAATTGGAGAATCAGAAGGCTCAAAATTTGTCTCATAGAAGTATTAGAAAATATTTTTGATAGATATCCGTTAGATAAAGTTGAAATAAATTAGGGAAATGTGTTGTGATGTGTTCTTCCTTCTTGTAAAATTAACAGAGAAAAACTAATTTGCATGTTGGACCAGTCACCTATAAGTTATTGGCCAGATGGCGAGTGTGTTTCTTTTACTTTGACAACAACATATCTACTATCTAGAAGGTGAATTATGCTCCTAAGAAATAGAAAATGTATGATTATCCTACGTGATCATAATATCACATAGAAGAAACAATTTTGTGAAAACCAATTTGCATATAGTCACCAATTTATAAAAGCGAGGAAATAAAAAAGTATCATTTAAAATAGTTCAAATTCACAAATTCCACACTAACTGGTCAGATATTTTACGTGATTTTGCAGTTATAGGAGAGTCAATAATTTAGTCTTAACGTGCCCCCCCCCCCCCCCCCCCCCCCCCGCGATTGTTTAATAGCATCTCATAATAAGCAAATTTTCTGTGAATGTGATAGTATTAGATACCATACGTAGGTCATAGAAAGAATATTGCCCTAGGTTTCTATATTCGTTTTTATATTGATAAGCTCATTGAAGATAAGAATACTATGAAAAATTTAGACATGCCACTTTGTGTTGTACATAGAAAACGACTTGAGTTTCTTTCACCCTGACAGAATCCTGCATCCAAAAAAGTTTTACTATCTAATGACTTTTGATTCCTATTGTTTGAAGAAAGCATACGTCTCTGGCTTGGTTCTATCTGTAGCAGGTAACTGTAAGAACTTCTATTATGACCTACAGCGATGGCCTCATCTCCTCTTTTTCTTCAAATTGTATAGATTATGGATAATTGGTTGTAAAACGTGTGAACTAGGTTTGTACGTAGGAATGTACTCTAGAAGAAAATGAGAAAGAAAAAAGAAATATAGAAGGCCAATAAGGAATGGTCCCATAACCCTGGGTCAAGTATAGATTATTTGATCTTGGCCAATGGAACCATCCACTGGTCTTCTCTAAATTGAAACATTAGTTTTGTTTATGTTTTTGAAGATCTTACACTGATAGAGAGCAAGATTGAAAAGAACATTAAGTTAAAAAAAGGAGAAAGTGGAGTTTAGGCTGTTGCTCGTATATCGACGACGGAGATGGGCTTAGGCTTGCTATTCTCGGGTTTAGATTTTATTTATTTGCTTTTTTATTAAGATATTATATTTTGATTTGGGCTTGCCCCTTAGTTATTATGTGGGTTTATTTTATTTTTAGTAAGTAGAGTTTAGTATAAGTATTTAAAGAGATTATTAGGGTTTGGAGAACATTATTCTTGATATTGGAAATAAAAGAGCTTGGTGGCTTTTGGGCAAATGGTTGATTCCGTTTGATTGTTCTTTGGGTAAATGATTGATATCTTTTGATTTTCTTATTATTTTTATCTTGTTCTAACATACATTCACCCTGACATACTGTTTATGTCCATGGCCCTTTGAATTCTGTAGAATGGAAACTTTGAAGAGGCACCTACCTTTTTCTGGACAAGAAGGACTGCAGGAACTTAAAAAAATAGCCATCAGGTTTGAGGAAAAGATATTTACTGCAGCAACAAATCAGGTACATTTACTGTACTGTTTCTATCGACACTCCTGTATTCAGGTTAAATCTGGTATTTCATCTGTAATTATTTTATCTCTTATAAACTAGAAATTTGTTATTTCATAGGCAGTGTTATTTTTGAACTGCACTTGGTTGCCAGGGTGTACTGCAGATAGTATTTTTTCTTGATTATTTTTCTTATTATGGAACTGGAAGAAATAGTGTTTGCTTCTAATCCAATTTTTTGTTCTTCATTATACTTCTTTTTGGTTCTGATCTGTGATTGCATGTATTTTTATATAACTCTACACATAAGTTGGATATCCAGCCAACTTTGTTTTTCAATTGAATAAAGTGCTTGTCATTCCATGCTCAGAGCTTTTATTTTGTAGTATGAGTCTGTATGACATGCATTGTCATCAACAATTGTGCAGCTTTTTTACTTTTTCCTTTATAACTTGCTCTTGCAGTCTGACTACTTAAGAAAAATATCACTGAAAATGTTGACGATGGAGACAAAATCTCTGAACCCTATGGGGACTAATTTTCCTCCTAATGTTACAAGTAGCAGCAAAAATCCCCAGGATACAGGTATAGAAGATATGTGTTAATGTGCTTAATCTCTTTCTTCACAACTATGCATGACAATGCTGATGTATTTCATCTTTCAAATTTGATTGAAGTTTTATCCTTGTTGATACTGATTTATGTGATTGCCGATTTAGCTCTAAGCTTGTGATTTTTGTGTTTGTAATCAAACTTTCTTGGCAGTTCATTCTGGCATTTAAATGTTTTTGCTTCATTTGAGTTTTTTTATGCCCTTACTGAACTTTCATTAATTCAATTTATACTCCATTCAAATTTGAGATTCTTAAAGTGTCATGCATATCAAATTCTCAATATTCTAGCTGCAGTGATTCAACAACTATCCACACATCTACATTGAGTACATGACATTGGATCAATATTTCGCGCTCTCATCTCTGTATGAATAATTAAGAAGTCAGTTCAAGCATGAAATGGCAGTATATTCAATGATACGGTGGAGGACTTTAAAAGTAGCAATTCAAATAAACATTTACCTCACAAGCAAAATAGAGGGAATTCTCTCATTCATCATCTACATGTTCTTTGTTAACTTATTGTTCAAGCAGGAGGACCAGCATTTTTTTTGGAATTTATATGTGTTTTGATATATTATTTTATTGTATTGCGTGGTTATTACACCACTTGGTTTAGTGCTTTCATATTCCAAACATACAATAACATCCAGTTTCTGTTGGTATGCGCACAATCAGTAGAAAGGGATTGAAGATATCCTGAAACTTGTTAAGCAAACCCTATTTTCACTGTTTGAAATACATAGCCATTGTTTACGATCATTATCTAAAATATTCTTTAATTCTGATATTTTCTACTTTAAACCCCAGCAATTGCCACTTAGTTGGTGTTGGTTGTTTTAAACTCAACTGGGGTAAGAGGCTGTAAGTTTTAATTTTTCGAGATGCAGGTTGTTTCTAGTTGTCATTTACACTGCCTTTGATACATGTTTTCGGGACTCTTTCTGCGATGCTGTTCCCTTGCAACCCCTCCTTTGTTTACTCTAAATCTCTCTGTGTTCTTGCTGTTATATCCCATTAAAAATAGATCTTCTTCTGTTTGCATCACCCTTGAATCAGTGAATGATCTTCTGATCAAGGGCAGTTTATCAATTGGTGTTTCTGTCCATTTGCTTAAATATACCATCCTTCTGTTCCCTTTGCTCTTCTCATTTGTTACGAATAACATATATACACATGCAGGATCATCTCAAAGCATGCAGTCTCAAATGCCAAATCAACCTCAGCAACTCCAAATGCCTGTGGGATCTCAAGTGAGGCAACCGCTGTTATCTCAGAACATTCAGAATAACAATCCATCAGCTGGGGTGCCAAGTTCTGCTGGCTTGGCGTCTGTATTGCCTGCTGTTCCGTCCATGTCTCAGGGTACCATGCCCAATGTTCCTGTTCAGAATCCTAACGTGCAGAACATGTCCAATATTACTCCCAGTGCTGTAGGAAATTCTATGGGGCAAGGTGTGCCATCTAATATCTATGGCAATAATCAGAGACAGATGCAGGGTAGGCAACAGCAGGTGGTGAATCCTGAGCAGCCGCAACAGTCTCAGAATTCACAATATCTCTATAACCAGCAGCTACATCAGCACCTTTTAAAGCAAAAGTTACAGCAGGGAGGTGTCACCCAGTCCATGATGCAGCAGCAACAGAACCTATTGCCACAAAATCAGCTTCAATCTTCTCAGCAGGGTGCTATGCAATCTGCTCTAAGGCAACCATCTGCTTCATCTACTCTTCAAAATCAGCAATCATCTCTTCAGCAGCCAAATCAATCTATGCTTCAGCAGCAGCCACAATCAGTCCTCAGGCAGCCGCAGCAACAGCAACAACAGCAGCAATCTGTCATTCCTCAGCCGCAATCCTCGATGCCTCAGCATCCAATGATGTCTGGTCAGCAGCCCCAGCAGCAGCAGCAGCAACAACAACAAATTAATGGGCAGCAGACAAACCCTGCAAACATGCAACAGAACCAGTTAATGAGTCAACAAAATACTACTCTTGATGCACAACAACATCAGCATCAACATCAACAGCAGAGGATGATTGCTCAGCAGAACAATTTATCCAGCATGCAGCAGCAGCAGCAGACGATTAGTCAACAAGGCAGCCTTTCAAGCATGCATCAACAGCAGTCCACTGGTCAGCAGAACATCTCAAATATGCATCCTCAGCAATTAGGCTCTCAAAACAATCTTTCGAATTTTCAGCATCAGCAAATGGTTATGCAACATGGTAACTCAGGCTTGCAAATTAATCAGCAGTCTGTCCATATGATGCCTCAATCTAAGGTTGCGGCGAAGCAGCAAATGCAACAGAGTATGGCAAATATGTTACCTAACCAAGCTCAACAACCACAGTCACAGCCAATGCAACAACAAATGATGTCACAGATTCAATCTTCTGGGCAGCTGCAACAACAATTGGGGATGCAACAGAAGGGGTCTACATTATCAAGAGACATGCAGCAAAGGATTCAGACACCTGCTCCTTTGCTTCAACAACAAACTGCACTTGATCAACAGAAACAGTTGCAATCTGAAAGAGGTGCTGCTGCACAGGGGCCTCAGAGTAAGTGTCTTTTTTTTTTTTTTTTTTTTGGCATGCCCATACATATCATATTATTCATTCTTGGCCTACCTGCTTCTAACAAAAGTGCAATTCAGATTTCCTAGTCATACACCCAAAAATGTTACTTGTTTTCCAGTTTGTGCAAGGCATATATAGAATGACTTATAAAGAAAATTTTCCTGGAAGAAACTATTCAATTGTTTTATTATTATTATTTGGTTGCGTTTTCTTACTTGATCCATGACTTGTCAATGTATCAATTATACTTGAGACGTAGTCATGCAACTGCTATGTTTTTGGATAATTTGTTCTCTTTCAGTTTTCAATGCAATGTGTGTTAGCTGGTAGTTCTTGCAAAAGTCTTGTCATGTTTCCTGTGAATAGAACATATAATGTTGCAGCGATTTCCAGAGTTTATGTTCATATTTTATTAATTCCATTGTATTGTTCTTTAGATTACTTACTACATTTTGATCAGAACTAGGTTCGGATTACAGTGAATGAAATCATGTGCGTAATTTAATTTGAACTAGATAGAAGTGTATGTATAGATTTATTGCGATTTGAGCTTAGAAACTTACTTTAAGTGAGCTTTTGAGATTGTAAAAATTACGAGTTCTTTAAATGTTAGAAGAATGTCCTTGTAGTCCCACACTTCTTGTTTTTCCTTGAAACTATTGGTATCTTTGGTTATGGATGATTTACAAAAAGAAGAATTGTATCTCTGCTTAAGGTTTAGAAAAGCTAATTTTGATGCCCATCCACGCATCATTGAGCAAACATAGCACGAGACCTTGATCTTGTCTGTTTATCATGTGTCTCTGTTGCTTTGAATTTTTGTAATGATATATCCAAGTTTTGTCAGATTATATGCTCTCTAGTTATCATTTCCCGAGGCACTTGCAGTCAGCCGGGGAGCCCCAAAATTTATACTCATTGAGATGAAACTATACCCTTTCCTACATATAGAGACAACAACATAATTATCCTTCCCTATAGTTGTTGCAATTTATGTATGTTCCTTTGTGATATTTCTGTCAGTTAACTAGTTTATATAATTACAGCATCTTTGGATTCTTCGGCACAAACAGGAAATGTGAATGGTGCAGACTGGCAAGAGGAGATATATCAGAAGGTACTCGCTGAGTCATTCCTTCATTTTGTTATTGGCTTATTGCACAAAAGGTTTTGTATAGTTCTCAATTTGAAGCTGTCTTCCTTCCTCTGTTGATTGTTTTCTTTTTGAGAATGTATGGTGCTCTCAATTAACTGTAAGTGTTTTCTTGCAGATAAAATCCATGAATGAGCTGTACTATCAGGAATTGAATGAAATGCACCAAAGGATGGCTGCTAAGTTGCAACAGGTAAGTATTGTATGTCAGAGTTTTACGTGATAGTTAGCTTGAAACCGACTTAAATGTATAGGAAATACGGAACATTAGCTACCCATCAACTTCCGAGAAACACTAATCTAAAGGATGAATTTGAACAGTACTCAAGCTGCTGCTTGGTCTGCCCGTTTTCCTAATGCAAAGCAAGATCCTACATAACATTGTTATGAGACTAGTGTGATCAACAATATATGGTTTGGATTCTGTCTAATCATTTTGTTCTACTGTGTTGCAGCATGATTCTCTTCCTCAACAACCTAAGAATGAGCAACTTGAAAAACTAAGATTTTTTAGGGTTATGTTGGAGCGTCTTATAATGTTTCTGCAAACCAGCAAGAGTGATGTTCAGCCAAGTCACAAGGATAAGATTCCTGGAGTTCATAAGCAGATTGTCAATATTCTCAGTTCAAACAGACCAAGGAAGCATGTTCCTGGAATGCAGCAAGGACAGATTTCACAGGCTAACTTGCATACTATGCAACAGTCTCAGCTGCAACAACCTCCTCAAATGCACACAAATGATGGGCAAATGAATTCCCAGATGCAACCAGCGAATGTGCAGGGTTCTGGGGTGTCTACACTGCAGAATAGTATGAGTAATGTGCAGTACAGTTCAGTGTCTTCTGGTGCTTCAAATTCTCGTGCGAATATGATGGATGGACTGCAGCCTGGTTCAAACATTGAAACTGGACAGGGCAATGCCATGAACCAAATGCACCAAGTGTCTATGAGTTCTCTACAGCAAAATCCTGTGAGTAGTCCACAACAGACGAATATTAACCCAGTATCATCACAAAGCGGGTTAACATCACTACCGACAAATGTTAACCCCCTACAGGCAAATTCAAATATACTTCAACCCCAGCAAATAAAACAGGAGCAACAGATGTTTTCAACCCAACAAATGAAACAGCAGTACCAGCAGCAGCGACAGTTGCACCAACAATATCTGCATAAACAACAGATGATCCAGCAACAGCAGCAAACTGGTCAGCAGCAGCCAGCTCAGTTGCCCTCACAGCAGATGATGCAGCAGCTTAATCAGATGGACACTAATGATATGAAGAGGCATCAGATGGTTGTCAAACAAGGAGTTCTTCAGCAGCACAATTCCTCCAGCCAACGACCATCATATCATCACCAACAACTTAAACCTGGAGCTGCGTTCTCTATTTCTTCACAGCAAGGTCTTCAGGCAGCATCCCCTCAGATTGGTCATCATGCATCCCCACAGGTTGATCAGCAGAATCTTCTGACATCCCATCCCAAATCTGGAACTCCTTTGCAGTCTGTCAGCTCCCCGTTTGTTGTTCCGTCTCCTTCAACTTCAATGGCACCGTCACCTATGCCAGGTGATGAGAAAACTAGTTATGGTGTTTCATCGCTGGCAAATGTTGTACATCCTTCAACTGCTGCAGCATCAATACCAAAGCAGTCCCTTGCAATTGGGACTCCGGGAATATCAGCCTCACCATTACTAGCAGAGTTTACCAGTCCTGATGGCACTCATGCCTTCGCATCTACCATTGTTCCTGGCAGCACTAATGTGGTGGAACAGCCACTTGAACGATTAACAAAAGTGGTAAGATGGATGCTCTCTCTCGTTTGTGGGATATTATTACTTCATCTCCTCCAATGTTATGTCCGCTTCATTTGTAAGTAGGAGTAAATATATGTTATTTATGTCCAGCTAAAAATATACAATTTGACATAATACTTCTCTCTGTCCTGGCTATAATGTCCGTTTTACAGTAGACAGAATTTACGATATAACTAGTATATATATATATATACACATTAGTGTCAGTAATTTTAGCGTAATTGGATTTATTCGGGACCAATGAATGTTGGGATTAAGTGAACTTCGGGATGGGATGCATGGAGTGCGCACTCGAAAAAACTAATTTTGACATAATTTTGACAAGTAACAAAAATTTTGGGACATATTGTTTATACGGTTTTAGTCATGGGCATGACTAAGTCTGCTGTCTACAAATTTTAAAGTTTTGTAATTAAATTTATGAGACAATGTAATATCTAACTTAGTCATGGCCATGCTAAGTGGTACAGGCTATTTTGGAATTTTTCCTAGAATTTTAATTTCAAAATTGTGTTTATTTATGAATTGATGTGTCTAATAATATTTAAATTATGAATTCAAACTCTTGTTTGAATTGAATCAATACATCAATTTATTTTGAATTCAAAGGAATATTTGAATTGAAAGAACACACCAATTCTTTTTGAAATTGAAATTTAAATTGAATCTTTGTGTTTGTTCAATTTAAATAAAAGGTTACTTATGATTTATAAATAGATGGATTGGTCTCATTTGCAGATATAAGAAAAAAAAGAAGATAATTAAAAACAAGAAAACACATTCAATGTTTTTATCTATGCAAGAAATTATAACCTTCATACTCATTTTATTCCCTACGTTCTCTTTGTCTCGATATTTTCTACCAGAATTCGAGATTGAACTTTTTATTATCCTAGTACGAATTTTGTGTAACCCTTAGTAGGAATTGGGTCAAAATATCGTATTCATCACGATACAGATTTATATTCGGTCATTCTCGTTGTTACCCAATAAAATCCCCAACAAACGAGTACGATATATTTTTATTAACGAACATGGCAAGCGAAACTCTGAGCGACATGTCGACCAAGTTTGGCAAGTTGACAAAGTTCGAAGGCGTCGATTTCCATCGCTGGCAGAAGAAGATGCACTTTCTTCTCACAACTTTGAAGGTCGTGTATGTCCTGAGCACTCCATGCCCCGAGGAAACCGAAGATGAAACTTTGGAGGCAACGCATCGCAAGAGAAAATGGGAGAATGATAACTACATTTGTCGTGGTTATATTCTCAATGCAATGTCTGATCCACTTTTTGATATTTATCAAAATGTAGGTTCAACCAAGGAACTTTGGGAGGCACTCGAATCTAAATACATGGCTGAAGACGCTTCAAGCAAGAAATTCTTGGTCAGCGACTTCAACAACTACAAGATAGTTGTTTTGAGGCCTGTGATGGAGCAGTACAACGAGCTCCTTCGCATCCTTGGTCAGTTCATGCAGCACGACATGAAAATGGATGAATCCATTGTTGTTTCATGCATCATCGACAAATTGCCGTCTGCATGGAAGGAATTTAAGCAAACGCTTAAACACAAGAAGGAATAGTTGACACTTGTAGAACTCGGTAGCCATTTGCGTATATAAGAACCTATAAGAGTACAAGAAGGTAGTAAAGGCAAGGATATTGCCGGACCTTCGGTAAACATGATTGAGGAACGAAAGAAAGACAAGTCCTCAAAAGAAGGTCATAGTAAAAAACGCAAATTTAATGATTCTAACAAAGATGTCAACAAGAAAACCAAGATGGCCTGCTGGATTTGTGGAAAATCTGGGCACCTTAAACGCGACTGTCGTGTTGGAAAAGGAAGCCGAGTTGCTAGCGCTAGCAAATGGGGAAAGGGGTTAAATGATCCTTTCCAAAACCAAGGGTTGGATTTAGTGAATATTTGTAATAATTCGATTAAACATGTTGTATCACTAATTTCTGAAGCACTTTATGTGCAGGATGACATGTATGTGATCGCTGCTGGTTCAAGGATTTTCATTCGGTGAATGATGGATCCGTGTTATATATGGGAGACAATCACTATGCTCCAATTACTGGACAAGGAAAAGTGACGCTGGAATTTAGTTCTAGGAAAAGTATTACTTTATGTAATGTTTTATATGTTCCTAAGTTACGTAAAAACTTAGTTTCAGGTCTTGTATTAAATAAGTCCGGTTATAAACAAGTATTTGAATCGGACAAATACGTGTTGTCTAAACACGGTGTATTCGTAGGATTTGGTTATTACAACCATGGTATGTTTATGTTAAATTTGGTTAATATACCTTGTGTTTCTAATGCTACTTGCATGGTTTCCAATTCAAAAGATGATTCATTCATGTGGCATGCTAGACTTAGACATGTGCATTATAAAAGAATGCTAGATATGTCTAAAATGGATGTAATTCCTGCAATTGATGCTACGACAAAAAAGTGTAAGACTTGTGCTTTAACGAAAATCACAAAGAAACCATTTAAAGGGATCACTCGAAAATCTGAAATTCTTGAGTTGATCCATAGTGATCTCTGCGATTTTCATTCAACACCATCATTGGGAAATAAAAAATATGTCGTCACTTATATAGATGATGCGACAAGGTACTGCTACGTATATTTGTTGCATGCAAAGCATGAAGCTTTGGTAAAATTCAAAGTTTATAAAACTGAAGTTGAATTACAGCTTGGTGCGTCAATTAAAATGTTGCGTACGGATCGAGGAGGAGAATATCTTGACTCTTCATTCTTTCAAGTTGTTGGAATAATCCATAAAATCACAGCTCCTTATACACCTCAACAAAATGGTGTAGCCGAAAGGAAAAACAGGACATTGAAAGAGATGGTAAATTCCATGATGTCTTTATCGGGTTTGAGTGAAGGATTTTGGGGAGAAGCTATGCTGACGGTCTGCTTTATATTAAATAGAGTCCCTAACAATCGAAACAAAGTCACTCCCTATGAGCTTTGGCACAAGAAGCGGCCTAACTTAACATACATACGAATATGGGGCTGTAGAGCAATTGTTCATGTTCCTGAACCTAAAAGAAAGACTTTAGGTGAAAAAAGAATTGATTGCATTTTTGTAGGATTTGCCGAGCACTCAAAGGCATATCGGTTCTATGTTCTGGAACCAAATGATTATGTCTCTGTACACTCAATCATTGAATCACGTGATGCAATCTTCGATGAAGAACGTTTCACGTCGATACCTAAGCCTTCATCTAGTCAAATCCACCAGATATGATGAGCACGAGAGTGATGAACATCTACCGTAGATGAAAATGAGGAAGAAAATCAAAATATTGATGAAAATAATCAACCGGCTGAACTTCGAAGAAGTAAAACGGCTAGAAAACCAAAGTCCTTTGGTACCGACTTTCATCTTTATTTAGTTGAAGGATCAAGAGACAAGTTTGGATCTTTATATCAATATTGTTGTAATTTAGAAAAAGATCCAAAGACATATGAAGAAGCCATGAGATCTCGGGATGCTTCCTTTTGAAAGGAAGCTATTAATGACGAGATGAACTCTATTTTAGGAAACAACACTTGGGTGTTGTCGAATTTACCTCCGGGATGTAAACCTTTGGGCTGTAGATGGATTTCAAAAGGAAAATAAAATCCGATGGAACCATTGAAAAATTTAAAGCTCGATTGGTCATCCAAGGATTTAGACAAAAGGAAGGTATCGATTACTTCGATACCTATGCACCGGTTGCTCGAAGCACTACTATAAGATTGTTGATTGCTTTGGCTGCAATTCATAATCTTATTGTCCATCAAATAGATGTTAAAACGACCTTTCTAAATGGAAATTTGGGGGAGGAAGTATACATGAAACAACCGGAAGGTTTTGTTGAACCGGGAAACGAACATAAGATGTGTAAGCTTGTTAAATCATTATATGGCTTGAAACAAGCTCCCAAACAATAGCATCAAAAGTTTGATAAATTTGCGTTGTCAAATGGTTTTGTTTTAAACCAATTAGACAAGTGTGTATATAGTCGATTTGACAATAATGGAAGAGGAGTCATCATTTGCTTATATGTTGATGACATGCTGATTTTCGGCACAGATCAAAGCAAGGTAGATGAAACCAAAATGTTTCTCGCATCTAAGTTTTCTATGAAGGACTTAGGAGATACTGATGTGATTCTCGGAATTAAAATTATTCGAGAATATAAGGGAATTACAATTGCACAATCACATTACATTGAGAGCATTCTCAAGAAATTCAATTGTGAAAATTGTACTCCAGTTGGTACACCTTGAGATCCTAGTGTGAAACTTAAGCCTAACACCGGAAAACCCGTCTCCCAACTTGAATACTCAAGGGCCATAGGTAGCTTGATGTATGCTATGACATGTACAAGGCCGGATATTGCTTATGTCGTGGGAAGATTAAGTCGATTTACTAGTAAGCCTAGTATACATCATTGGAAAGCACTTAAAAGAGTATTCAAGTACTTAAAATCGATTGTAAATTATGGCTTGTCATATGTTGGTTTTTCGTCAATTTTGGAAGGATACTCGAACGCGAGTTGGATAAGCCATGCAGAAGATCATTCTTCCACCACTTGATGGACGTTTTTGCTTGGGGGAGGTGCAATTTGTTGGGCTTCCAAGAAGCAAACGTGCATCACAAGTTCTACGATGGAATCTGAATTTGTAGCATTAGCCGTGGCTGGAAAGGAATTTGAATGGCTTCATAACCTGGTATATGAGATTCCGTTATGGCTGAAACCGGTGCCACCCATCTCTATTCGTTATGATAGCGCCTCAACAATGTCTAAAGCTTATAGTGAAATCTATAATGGTAAGTCTCGACACATAGGTGTGAGACATAACATGATTCATGATTTAATCATAAATGGGGTGATATCGGTTGAGTTTATTCGGTCGGAACATAATTTGGCCGACTATTTGACAAAAAGGTTAGCGAGAGACTTAGTGCACAAGTCGTCGATTAGGATGGGATTGAAGTCCATTAAATCTTCCTAGTGTGAGACACCCAATTCCCTTATAGTATGACGTTTGAAGCTGAATTCAATGTGGAAAGCTCATATTGGGAAGATTGGAACGCATTTTATTCAAACATCCCCGGGTACGCGTTCAGACCTACAAGAACCGTAGGTTGAGATTATATCTCTTAATAACTCCTTTGAAAAATTGTTTATGCAGGGACTAAATGAGCTACCTATACGAGCATGAAGTTTTTTCGCTTCAAGAAAGTTCGGACTTGTTTTCGATGTGCTCGCGAATGGATATGGACACATGGCTTGAAAAGTATCAAGTTAGAACCAAGGAAATTGTAAATTCGTGTGTACTTTGCCTACATGTATTCAAATGAGTTGAAAGGGTTCAATCCTTAGCGACACCATGATTCTCGAATATTTGTAACGTGTATTGTACTAATGCGAAAATTCAATCTTCGTGACATTCTCATTTATGCATGGATTTATTGTGTATGGTTGTGATTTAATTTGTGAATAAGTCAAGGATTACACTAAAATGGAGGAGGATTGTTGGTAATTTTAGCGTAATTGGATTTATTCGAAATCAATGAATGTTGGGATTAAGTGAACTTCAGGATGGAATGCGTGGAGTGCGCACTCGAAGAAACTAATTTTGACAAGTAACAAAAATTCTGGGACAGATTGTTGATACGACTTTAGTCATAGGCATGATTAAATCTACTGTCTACAAATCTTAAAGTTCTGTAATTAAATTTATGAGACAAAATGTAATAGCTAACTTAGTCATGACCATGATGACTAAGTGGTACATGCTATTCTGGAATTTTTTTTCTAGAATTTTAATTTCAAAATTGTGTTTATTTATGAATTGATGTATCTAATAATATTTAAATTATGAATTCAAATTTTTGTTTGAATTGAATCAATACATCAATTTATTTTGAATTCAAATGAATATTTGAATTGAAAGAACACACCCATTCTTTTTTAAATTGAAATTTAAATTGAACATTTGTGTTTGTTCAATTTAAATAAAAGGTTACTTATAATCTATAAATAGATGGACTGGTCCACATTTGCAGATATAAGAAAAAAAAGGAGATAACTAGAAACAAGAAAACACATTCAGTGTTTTTATCTCTGTAAGAAATTATAGCCTTCATACTCATTTTATTCCCTACGTTCTCTTTGTCTCGATATTTTCTACGAGAATTCGAGATTGAACTTTGTATTATCCCAATACGAATTTTGTGTAACCCTCGGTAAGAATTGGATCAAAATAAGCTCATCACGATACAGAATTATATTCGGCTATCCTCGTCGTTACCCAATAAAATCCCCAACAATTAGTCGATTGTGTGTTGTGGTATGCCCCGCAAATTTGAATTTATAAATATATAACAATCGGTATATTTTTTATATAAAAAAATATTATTTAAAATTTTAATTAAGATAAAAAATACTCTGAATCAAATAAATATCATAATAAATGTTTCATTTAAATTATATAAAAAAATAAATTTTGATAAAATTATTATATATTTATGATGTATTTTATTCTCAATTTTTTTTATTTTGTTATTTTTTAATAATCATAATCTATATATTTTTAAATAAATAAAATTAGAAAATGATATATATATATATATTCTACACCTAACTTCAAATAAATATATTGTAAAATTAAATAGAAAAGATCACTAATAAAGAATCGAGATTTTAAAAATAATATTTTTTAAAATTAATGTCACTATGTTATCTTATATAATTAATTTTTTTACATTACAAAAAATTAGAAACTAATAAATATATTCATACAAATATTAATTGAGACATACATTTCGAACAAAATAAAAATAAAAATTTCTTATATCTTATATGTACCAAAAAATACGAATAAATATTATAAATTAATTTTAAAAAGTACAGAGTTTATATTCATTATTAGTACAATTAATTGGCTATTATATTAATAAACGATCATAAAGAGTAAAATAAATAAATAAGAGTAAACGATCACATATATTAATTACTTTTTTATTTTGTATTATTTCAATAATAGTCAATAAAAGACTTAATGATTGAAAGAAACCTATCGTATAAAACAAAAATTGATTTTTTACATTAAAAAAAAAATTATTCAAAAATAAAAATAATCAAGAAATGTCTCTATAATTAATT